GATGAAATATAGATGTTGTATGATTCTCCACCCTGGCCAATATGCACACAAAATTCCACGAAAATCGATCGAGTCGTTTCGGAGGAGTTTAATTACAAACACCATGACACGAGAATTTTATATATTAGATTTACGTTAAATAAAATACGGTACCTTATATAATATAAAACCTTTAGTATTACATTAAGGATATAACCTTATAATAATAATATTATACTATGAATACTTAATATAAAAATGTAATAAGAAAACACAGGGGCGTTCTTAGTTGAATCATAAAACCTAATTTATTACATTAATCCATTTTTAACTATTGCTTTGCGATATACATATATAGTCAGAGACTTTAAGATGAAACTGCAGAAGCCATACAAAGAGTACAGAATGCCGGTGCAACATTGCAACTACACTTCGTCACTTAGAATATACTTGCAAATACTTCCCACCAAATAGCAAGTTTTTTTGTGTGTTAAATATCAAGCTTTCAAAATGATGAATGACCTAACTTCGACAATACAAAACAAAATCAGAAAACCTTTTAAGTACAAGGATCCTTTAATATAAAAACAAAGCTAACAAAAACTTTGAACATGATTTTAAAAAAACCCTACAAAACTTATACTTTTCTCTAAACGAATAAAAGGTCTAGGTAAGACTGTAAATCAGCGCTAAACAGTACCTGGCTGTTGTAGCGTATGCCAAGTTTCCACCTTTTGTCCACTGTTAATTTTTTTATTCTATTGTTAGTATTTTTGCATAATTTTTTACTTTATTGTACGTCTTCTTTTATTTTCTTTCTTATATGTTTAGAGTTAATACGCAAATATTTTCTAGCTAATAAACTATTAGTATTATTTTTCTGTGGTGGGGCCACACATCTACCTTCGATGTTGCACGATGTTGCAATGGACAGGTCCGTCTGTCTAGCGTCGTGGCAACGCATCTGCAATCCACAGGTGTTGCAAAAGATCATGAATGACGGTTACCACTTAATATCAGGTGAAACGCCAGCTCGCTCTCTTAAATAAAAATAAATTTTACCAAAAGCTTGCAAATGTTCACCTGGATGTCGTATTGGTGAAAGAAGTATTAAATAGCTCGTAGTATTATACAAACAATATGCACAATTTAAGTATGTATATGTCAGTTTTCGTGTTACATATAAGGTTAATTTGTAAGTTGGAATACATAACATAAGAACATCTATTGTCTGAGAGTTTGTTTTATATATGAACAAATCTTTTTCCCGCTTTTTCCCACTTGCTTATAGTTTCTTTTTAAGTTTTTACAACTTTACATATCAAGCAAGGCATAAGTCATAGTTTAAAGTGATCAGAGAAATGATCTTACATTACGAGTAACAAAAATACATGTATCTATAAAGTTACGTTTTTCTTAGAGCCAATGAATTCATTGTCGTATTTAAAGCCATCTAATTTTTTTAATCAAGTCATAATTTCGAAAAGACAAACTATAATTTTTCTTAATTTATTAAAGACAGTTATCATTGTTTTAGTAAATTAAAAACAGAAAAATACGAAAATTTGGAATTATTTTGAAATGCAAATGTGTAGCTCGGTGCCGGCGGGTAGAGCTTGTTCAGGATACAACAAATAATATCAACTCTTTGTTGAACTATAGTTCTGTAATAAAATGAGTTTAAGTCAAAGTAAAAATGTTAATAATAATAGATATAATACAATAATAATAAAGTAAATATTATTAAAACAAAATAGAATAAATAATATAATATAAATTAAACATTAGTTGAAAAACAATAAGTTGAATGAATATTTATGTTATTGACGTAATGAAGTAAGGCTCAATCCCGTTCCAGTATTAAAGCCTAGTTAGTCATTTAAAAATTATTTCTAGTGTGGTCTCACGGTGGTAGGGCCACGCAGCAGCTTCGGCTGTTGCACGAATGGGCAGGCCCGTCCGGGTAAGTACCACGACCTCACAGAAGATCAGCGTAAAGTGGAAGTATGACAAATACTTTCGCGTTTCGTCTGGTGAGTGAGGTAGCCGGAGCCCAATTTTCAAAAGGTTGTCAACGCATCTGTAACCCTCGGGTGTGGCAGATGTCCATGGGCGGCGGTATTCACTTAACATCAGGTGAACCGTCTGCTCGTTTGACAACTTTTCGCATAAAAAAAAAAAAAAAAAACATATCGAAGAAATTTTTATATTAATTTATAAAAAATTAAAAATTAATATAACTTTTTGTAGAAAATTGTCAGTTACTGAATAATAATTTCATCACCACTTTGAGATTTTTTCTAGGAGCGGTCGTATTGTATGGGTAGAAATATTCATCTATACTTCAAACAGACTAAAAATTGGGAACAGTTCCAAGTTCGTATTAAGTAAAATATTATTTAAAAAAGCAATGTTCCTTATCAGGCGATGTTGAATGTACTACACATTGTACTACGAATATACCAAGCGATTTGAAGTGAATGTTTCAACAATATTTTTTTTAATAGCATGACTGTCAGATTACGTATCCATTGCTTACATTCACTAAGATTTTTGTTTCTTCCACAGAATTTCCACAACTTCAGTAGGTTTATTATGAATAATGGGCGCATATCGATTTGAATAATAATTTAATCGTTCATGGGTTTGATTCCTCATCGGGCAAATATTAACATTAAAATATGTAGAAAAAGTGCGAAAAGATTGTCGCCTGTGTGATTCCCACAACGGCGACAATCTTTTCGCACTTTTTCTATATATTTTAATGTTCAATCTTAATTGCAAAGATTAGCACTATAAACAATTTAAATTTCTAAAAAAGCAATGGCGACATCTCCCGTTCGAATTATCGTTGTAAAACGATATTCGAAATTGTTTGTATGCTGGAAAGGATATAACAATCGATGGCGCCAAGCATTGCTTCAAATGCTAAGAAAACAATGTGGAAGAATGCGTTAAGATTTTCGTCGGTGTGGCAATCAGCCGTTTAGCTCAGTGGCTAGAGCGTCAGGCCGCGAATGCCGAAGACGTGGGTTCGATTCCCACAACGGCGACAATCTTTTCGCACTTTTTCTACATATTTTAATGTTCAATCTTAAGTGCAAAGATTAGCACTATAAACAATTTAAATTTCAAATATTAACATGATATACAAATTGGTCCAGAACTGGCTGTGTGTGTTCTACGCCTTGTGTACTTTGAAACTGCTGAATAAGTTTATTATATAAATTTATATTTTAAATAATTCTGTTTAACATATTATACAAATGGCAACTTTCTCTGCATTTTCCATTTGCTTAAATATTTTACGACTCCAAATTAGTCAGATTTCCGATGGTCGTGAAGGTATATATTTTGATGTAACAAAGCTGGCAAATAACTGACCGCCTTAAATTTTCGTTTAACAATAGATGATAGTAACCTTATTTACGAGTATATTTTAAATAGAAATATATTATAAATTCATTAAATCAACTTATTGCGATAATACTATTAAAAAAAAGTCTTATATACAACTGAATTCTCTTGATATAGGTATGATCCTAGCGACTAACAGTAAGTTACAGTCTAGAAGCTAGAATATCGGATTTTCGATATTTATTGTTTTTTGCCGTTTTTTTTAAGTCTTTAATTTTTTATATGATATGTCGACAAGCGGTACAGGTAGTTTACTTGATGTTTAGGGATTACTGCAACTCATGATCTTGTACAACACCTGACGCGTTGTAGAGACATAAAAGTAAAGTAACAACCTATTTTTGTCTCAATTAGGGCATAGTGAATTAATTAAGGCTTACTACAACTCGGCCAAATTCAATATTTTTTTTTTCAAAATCAAATTTAAATATCTTTATTCAAAATAGGAGCATTACACTCTTATTGATTATCAAAATATTACTACCCCACTGCGGATATCTTAGATAGATATACTTATGTTACTTATATTACTGCTTTCTTATATCTTCCAAATATGTTTTAAGCAGGCTCATCTTCTATTAGGTTTAATACTATATAAGAATTCTCGACTCGGGCACCTTTTAAGTGCCTCCTCAATTCCGGTGCACTAGTGTCATATCTTTGTGTATAATATAATTGCTGGACAAAATAATATAAATAAAATGAAATTAATCTTTTCTTAAACTTTTTTGAGTGCAACTTAATTTTTATTTATTTGCATATATACGTTATTGAATTTTCCAAACGGAGATGAAGTCATGAACTTTTTGAATTTGTTCTTCAAAGCTTTAGCACTTTTACTTCTAAAGGGTTGATTATAAATGAAACTAGTGATAATATACGTATTTTTATTTATTTCAACTCATCAATTGTACTATAGTAACTATACAAATTCGAAACATACATAGATCGGCTACACTTAAAATTAAACTATGCTCTGATATAATAATAATATATTGAATGCCAAAATACTCTGAAATATTTATTTCTACTTTTGGGAAAAGGATTTTGAAGCTTGGGTATAACATTAATGCTTGAGAACATTTTTGCATAGAAAGTTCTGTTCGGATCGAACGTATTACCTATAAGGGTGGATATGCTTCTATACTCCATCTTCAACAGACGCAGTATTGAGGCATAGGGAAAGAGTTGTGCCTTTGCCCAGCTCACGAAAAGCATAACTCTTTGCCGCCAACTAATAACTTAAATATAAATTAGAAAAATAGATAAGATCACATAAAAACCTGAAACTAGGTACAGTTATGTATTTAGTAAAATATAATTTAAAAAATAATATTCCTTTTCGGGTGAGGTTCATCGTACTACCAAGATCATAATACACCAAGCGATATGAAGTTTCATTTAATCTTTTAACAGTACTAACATGACGATTATATACACATAGCTTATATTTCAATAGTTATAATGACACGTAAAGATTGATATTAAAATTTGACACGTAGTAATTACGCTGCAGCTACATAGTTTGCCTGTTAACAGACTGTCGATTAATTATGGAGCGGGGTGATGCAGTTTTATCTATTTTGTTACAACCGATGGTCTTAGTTCTGTTGTCTGTCGTCTTCCACGGAGCCGGTGGATTTCACCTCCTTGGGCAAGGTAGACTGCAAAAGAAATATCTTATTAATAATCGAACCGTTTTAAAGATCCGAAAAATAGGGTCTTGAGAGAAATAATGTAAAAAAGCACCATCTAGGCTCCGAGAGTTTCTAGTTCTCACAAAAGTAGATAATTCTAAATGATTATATATTAACGCTCATAAGAAGAGGAACACGGGGATTTTCGAATGAAAAATCCCCATCGGTTAATCACCATTACCTATTTGTTTTTTCTATCTTAAATACATTATTTAATAAGCGATATTATTAGCAATTTCAAAATAATAAACGCAAACAAAACGTTATACGTTAAAGTTTAATAAATTCATTATTAGATTTCAACAAGGATTATCTAATGTGCTAATACCATAAAAATAAATTTAAAATAAAAATGAATAAATAAAATAAATAAATTTACCTCTAGAGGCAGCAAGAACATGTTGTTGTCAGAGCGACGGCCGAAACGAAGGCGCATAGAAGGAGCACGCACGGCACGGTCTTGTTCCTGAGGTAATAATAATAAGTAAGTATTAGTCTTTGCAACCTTAAAGGGACTGTAATTAATACAAGGTTAAACGAGGTGATCTTAGGCACGAGGTCTGTAGTGTTGAAACAATCTTTCGATTTTGGATGATGACTTAACTTTAGCTTGCTTTAATATCATAATAGGTTTTAATTTTTACGTCTGTTGTACATACCAAATTCTTAATATTAAACCATTTTGTTAATTATGATCATACAGTAATGCTTTTGAATTCAGTTAATTCTTCTAACTAATATAATAAAATTATAAATATTATCGTATAAATATAGAATGCATAATATTTCAACTAATAAATACAATAATGGATAGATAAATTAATTGCGTTGGCCATAATAAAATTGAGTCGCAATTTCTAGTTCGTTAGAGATACAGTATCAAATCAAATAATCAATACATTAATGAACAGCCATGCCGCTGCTACTTAACGCGTAAAGTTAATTAATTATAATGGAAGACTTTAAGGGCGTGAATAAGCAGTTCTGAATGAATTCATTACTATCTGCTTCATTTTATCTTTATAGACAAAATGACGGTCTGTCGCTATGTGCGAATCACGGAAAAACTACTGCATAGATTTCGATTAGTTTATGTAAACTTTATGTCTTAGACATTTGGCCCTTATTTTAAAAATATTGTTTTATCTTCATTATTATGATTGTAAGTTTTAAAAAGCAACGATTCTATTAGCAATACCTGGTCAGTGATGTGTGTTTTCTTGCTGTGCTAGATAAAATCCCTACTTATATCTATATATAAAAAAAATTCGTGTCATGATGTTGTTCGCGATAAACTACGAAATGACTGAACCAATTTTTATCAAATTTTGTAAGCATTAGTAATTTGGTCCAACTTGGGAGATAGGGTGGTTTTATCTCAATTATTGATCGTAATATTTGTGTTATTTTATATGGCGCAGGCGCAGGCGCAGACGCGCGGGCCAGCTAGTAATATTATAAATGTGTATGTAAGTTTGTTTATTATTCTTTCACGCCAAAACTACTCAACTGATTATCACAAAACTCTGTACGCATATTCTTTAGAGTTATTGTAAAGGCAATAGGATTAATTTTTATGAAAAAAAAATGTTAAAAAAAAAAGATATTTATGTAAGGGCGTCAACGCGAGCGAAGCTGCGGGCGAAACGCTAGTTATTAATGTAATAAGCAACGCAGACGAACTCGCTGGTATCATCTAGTAATGTATAGAATTGTAACAATCCGGTCCGTGCTACGAGGAGTAATGAAAATAGTTTTAAACTCTGACTGAAGCGATATGAATGTCACCAGGTCGCCAGAGTGTTGCTCGCTTGTCGTAAAACGTGTCGTTCGTAACAAGGCTTATAGTGGCTTGTTAGGGCAAATAAGTTCATTTCGCGGCTTTCCACCGCATCGGGAATTTTATTATCTGCGGATCGATACCTGTTCTGTCGCTTTTAGTGGCGCTCTCGGAATGCTATACAGTTACGGTTTGTTCCGTACGGTTAATAGCTTCATATACTGACTTTCTCTATAGCCTACTTTCCGCTGATTGCCCTCGCTGACCAATTTTACGACTTTTCGTCGGATATATTTCGTATATTGTACATTTACACATCTTTATTCATTAACTGTTACGCACCTATTCCTTTTATCTCCAAGTCATATCCTAGGTCGATTGAAATAGCTCAGATAAATTCGCCAAACGTTTTTTTTAACAAAAAATTAAAAATCGATAGTTTTATTAACGTCACAACGACGTAATTTATGGTACGTTCAATGTGTATTGCTTCAGGTGAAGAAAATTTGATCAGTTCCAAAGTTGACTTTTAAAGTCTGTTAAAAACCTTTAACTTTTAAGTTTCTAATATAGAATTAATATTCATTAAAATGTACGGTGCCATTGAAATTATATATAATACGTTAAATTAAAAGATTAAGAAAAGCTCCTCAGCGAACTTTAAGTAATTCTATTGTCATATTCTATTTTCCAAAACGCATTACTTGGTGAATACAACGCAACACTTTATCAAAAAACGACTCTTACACTAAATATAGCTACAGGAACTGTGATACAAACAGGAAGTTATTGAAAAGTTGTTATATGTAATCAATAAGGGCGCGGGAGCCCTAATGTCATTATTAGGGTATTATCGACTAGTTCATGTTAGTGATCATTAGAAGTTGGCGCCCGTTAAGCCAGTCTCTTTATTAGGGTGATTAGAGATCGGGGCTTATTAGCTACCTCCTGGGGGAAGATGTGGGGCACGGCGCGCTCGTCGGAGCGGCGGCCGAAGCGTAGGCGGACGGGGCTGCGCACCTCGCGCATAACCATCTCCTCCATCTCGTCGAGCTGTCAAAATAACCGTTAAATATTTTTTTTATCGTGTTCAGCGTCACAAGTAACACATCGTTTAATGCCACAACGTGATAATTAATCGTATCATTTATACATCACTACAAAGTATAAAACGAAGTCCTCCCGCTGTCTGTCTGTCCCTATGTATGCTTAGATCTTTAAAACAACGCAACGGATTTTGATGCGGTTTTTTTACTGGATAGAGTGATTCAAGAGGAAGGTTTATATGTATAATACATTGCACCTATGCGAAGCCGGGGCGAGTCGCTAGTCTAAAAATATTGTTACAAATAGCTTCCTGAAGTGTCTTTACTTTTGTTTGTTTCCGAAAAATGGTTAACTTTTGAATGTAATGTTACAAGGCCGATGTATTGATATGAGTGATATCAAAAGTGTACGTTACAATTTCATTTTTGTTTATTAACGTAGTAACTTACTCCAAGATAAATAAGATGCACACTCATTTGGGCCCAGAGCGTAGGCACGTAACTTAAACTCAAAAAGAAGAATTTACTACGAAACAATGTTACTGTCTCCAAAGTATTACCGTTTTTAACATTACTGGTTAATAAATATATGATCAAAATTGATACTAAGATATTGGTTACGTTGCTATACATTCTCCTTTATGTTTGGTAATGAGCTTATAGGAAACCGAAAAGTGTGGAGTTCCGCGTATCGTGTAATGGCGTAACCGTGTTCAAATGCGAGATTTTGTTAAATGGAGCAAACAAAGGTCTTCTTTATGCCGATATCGACTAAGGGAAGGGTAGGGGGCCATCCACTTCTTGTTGAAATCCACTCGTTACTTTTAACGCGCCCTACAATTTGGGTATATAAAAACATTTCAATGTGACATTTTTAGAAATGAATCACTGAACTTTGCCCGTCAAAAGAAACGAATAACTTTTAAGTCCTTTTATCTTTAGATACTTAGTTACTGGGTTTTTTCCCATGGACGATAAATCTGTATTAAGGTATGATCGCCTCTTTCATATTAATTAAATATATAAATAATAAATATTATTTGGATACGATACGTTATCAAGTCCCAAACTAATCTCATATCTAGTTGATTACCTTTAAAATCACTAAATAAAAAATACGAAAGCTAGAAACTTTGATACAATTGTTGTTAAAGAACTAAAGTGATTTCTAGAAACAATAAAGTTAGATTAATCCTATTGGATTCATGTCATATTTGTGATGCCGAAGCACGTGCTAAATAATGTTTCGCGCTGAATGATGTTCGACAGAGGACTGCCGCATTTAAATGATTTTTATGGTTGATGAATGAATATGACGAAGGTGATCAATTTGCAACAGATGAAATGTTTCAATAGCGACAACAGCTAAACGTAATCATTTCGTAAAAGCTACCCTAATGGAAAGGCCTTTTATTATTAAGAATACATTGAGGACAACGATGTGTATAAATGACTCTTGCGCTACTCTTGCTAGTCCTCTGAATGCTGCTCAATTTGTACCCAAATAATTGTGTATAGTTTATTTAAAAAAATATCGAGACCGCAGAGTTTCTTGACTTGCCTTCCATACAACGAGAGATGAAGATGAATAGATGAGATAAGAAGAATAATGAATCAGGGCCGGATTTAGGGGAGGGCAACTGAGGGGACTCAAAAGATGACTTGACTGACTTCGTGAAAAAAAATCAAATTCAGACTAGTAAATATTAGTAAACAACTTTTCCCCTCATAATTATTTTCGCATTTTACTTTTGCCTACAGTACTTTGTACAAATATGATTATATTAAACATTAACAGAAATCATCGATCTATATTTGTTCGCTCCAATCAGGAAATCAGTAAAATAATTTGGGGCCAAATGGCCTCCTTGGTTGCCCCGTGGGTTCCCGATGCATTACCTTTTGAAAATTGGGCTCCGGCCACCTCACTCACTATACGAAACGGCAAAGTATTATACTTCCACTTTACGCCGGTCCTCGGTCGTGGTACTTACCCAGACGAGCCTGCCCATTCGTGCAACAGCCGAGGCTGCTGCATGGCCCTACCACCGTTAACTCTTTGACTCTTCAAACGTTTCAAACGCTTCTGTTACCGGAGCCTGGGCGGGCATGTCGGGGTCCGAGCGGCGGCCGAAGCGCAGGCGGCGGGAAGGCGAGCGCACCGACTTCCGGGCGAGCGCGTGACCGTCCAGCGCGTCGTGCTGGGCCAGTAGCGCGTAGAGGCCGCCCAGAGCGTCCCAGCCCTGGCTCTCGGCCACCGTGTTACCTGTGGACAGTGCTCGGGCAAATGATCGGGCTTTCTTTTTGTCTAACATAACTACTCTCTACGGGTCGAGGTCCGTACCCTTATTTGTTGTATTCATATTTAATATTTTACTTTTACAAATGTAACTTCTACTACTGTACTATACTTCTGGTGCAAAGTGTATAGCTAGTGGAGAAAACTTTTTTGGTCCATATATCTGTGTTGAATTGTAGAATTTTTTTTATTATGTACGTGCTGTATGTTTTCCTAACCATTAAAAAAATAAAAAAAAATTCATATCCACTACATCGAAACAGTTAAATCTACGCTTAAGCTACGGCAGAGTTAATGTTCGGACTTTGGAGTAAGCAGTATTGAGTAAACATAAGGTTGCTAAGTATATTGAATAGAGTATGCGATCCTTTTTATACTAATCGTAAATTCCGCAAACTATAAAAATAAAGCACTAACAAAATGTTAACTCAATAATAACTAAAATATTTATTAAAAAGCGGTATATAGAGAATAACTATTGAAGCAATTTAATTACTACTATTAATAGTATTAAACAAACACGTATTTAACAAAGCACCGTAACATGATTAGGATTTAAAAAAGTACAATAAGTAAAGGATATGATAAAGAATACACACATTTCTTTATATCTCTATAGAAATAAATTAAAAAAAATGAAAATTGTAATATAGACAGTTCGAGTTAATGTTTTAGATGACACTAACGTGTTGTATCTAAAACATAGATACGAAATTTCTATAAACCTCGAGACACGGCGCAAGAAACTGTTAGTAAGTTATGGAGAAGACAAAGAGAGCCAATGAAGCGTTACCTCTGCTCCTGACATAATGAGCGATATTTACTTACGAAAGTCGGTAGACAACAATTTTGTGGTTAAATAAGATAAAGCATATAAAGCTTGAAGATGAAATGATATTTAATCTTTCATCATTTAAATATATTACGAAACGTGTATGGCAAAGCTACAGTATTATTAGAAATGTATTCAAATATAAAAAAAAATTGTTACAAAGGTACTGTAATTTTTTTTAAAGTCATGCAGTAAAATCATACCCAGTATAATTCCAGCGTTAAAAGTGCCTTTATATGCATCTACCTAACGCATGTACACAAATGGAACGGCTTTGGCTGCAAAGCAGTACGTGAACCCTCATAATGTACATAATATATAACTTTGTAGCAGTTTTACTTGCAGCTTAGCAGAGATTAAAATGTAAACTAACTATAAGTAGGTACTTTCAGTAAACTTTATAAAACGATTCAGCTGCAGCTTTGTAACTTTGTTGGAGCCACTTATCGGCCGACATATTTATAGTAAAGGTTTTATTATAATTCAATTATTAAAATTTTGTAAGATACAGACGCTGTATTTTTATAGTATGAGAAGGCATATTATACGAAACATTCAAGAACACAAATACAAAAAGTTTAAAAAAAATAATGACAGATGCCTAAAAAGAAGACTTTACAGTCTTGTAATTTATTGCATAAGATATAGATGATTCAAAATTTGTATTATGCAGGTACATAATTTTACAATGTCGTACACTGCACCACAAGGCAACAACGAAGGAAACTTTATAGTGACTTTGAGAGTTTACGCTTGTCCTGTATACAGTGAGGTCGATACCAAAGTTATAAATGTTAAACGTCAGTAAAGTTTTGTACGTAGTTTTATGTAACTTAACACTTTATTGGCGTAAACTTTATTGAAGTTTTTACGTAGCAACACACCTTTGGATCATTGTTTAATTATTAAATACGATTTTACAGTGGTTCACATCGGGAATTTTCTATATCTCTGGAAAATCCTGGCAGTCGCTTTACTATCAATCTCAGTCAAAAAGAGCCTCGTGATTAAAAAGTGACTGAGTAACCCTTTTAAGTTATTGCTCAATGAACAATGGATAACTTATCATCGGTCACAATTTTGATTTGTTTTTTTGTTGAATTGGCCGAATAAGAAAGAGTCTCAACTCTAACAACCTCGTTAACATAACAGGGCTTAAATAACGGACTCCGATTGAAAATAGTGTCCGATGAAGCTTTTCATCCTTAAGACTGAAAGCTAGATAAATGGCAAAACTTAATTAAATTGATTCAACATTTCATGCGATAAACTTTAATATACCAACCAAAATAGACTGTAATATGACATGACTTATGCTTTGGTCATTTTTATTGGTTATTTTACCCCTACTCTATCTCTATCTTTAAAAACAAAAAGGTATTATATATTTGTTTTAAATATGAGCTGCTCTCTAAGATATAAGAGATGTTAACATTCCATCGAAGAATTAATTAACTTCAGTCTTGACTTCCTTTTGAGGAGAACTTAAATATTAATTCTACTTATCGAAAGTCACTTAAGTTATTTAGAAAAGCCGAACCGAGGGTCGGTCATTTATAAATTATTAAATAAATTATTACAGTAAAATATATTAATAAATATACAATGCCCAATTAAAATATCTTGTTTCTAAATAAAACGATTACCTACGAAATAAAAGAAAACGTTCAATTACGTATAAAAATTATTTTGTTATTGTAGAAGAAATAGTGCTTAGAATATAATATAAAACTTCATTATATAGTCTATGCCTTTATTAATAAGAAAAACCTCGGTATTCTATTTAAGTACTGACAAAAAAAGATTAGCTTAATAGTATAATATTAATTTCAAATATACTAGCCATCGAGACTATGGATTTTAATAAATCTTCATCAATATAAATTGAAATTCGCTTGTAAAGCACTTTCACTTCGGAAAACCTGTCTACAGTTTCTCAAAAGATCATTAATTGTGAAGATAATTAAATTAGTCTCTACATTGGCCATATACACACGGAGTTGTGTGCCCGTGCTATCTTAATATAGTTGGGGTTACGGGTTCAAATCCTAGTTGTTTAAAAGTGTTTCCTTGACTTAAGCCGGAGACCGATCTCATTCGGGATTCAATAGGCTGGGTGGAAACTTGTTTTTTTTTATTTTAACAAAGTAACTACAGACTCGTGGTCCGTACTCTTTTTTGATTAACATGTTTTTTTTGTAAATTTTCTTTTTGGGCTGTCACCGGCGCGTACATCAACCGGACTGGTAGCGGTGCAACAGTGAATTCATATTTATATATTATTATTATTATTTTCTTCATAAATATATATACATATATATAAAATAATTAATTTATATATATTTTTGATCTGCACAGTTTTTGCTGTAGGGAGAATGGACGGAGATCTCGTCGTCGCTCGGTGGAAACTTGTTAGTGGTAATAAACTCTGGCCACCCCGTCTAGAGGGGACAAGAGTTTGTACTTGTGTTGGCTTACCGTCATACTGCGACAAAGCCTGGGCGTTGGACACTGGCAGCGTGCACACTGCCGCCAAAACGATGAGTGCGAGAACTAAGACGCAGCTCCGAGACATGGCTGTAACAAAGAGAGTAAAACATTAATTTTATATTTATAATAATTGATCGGTGTTAAATTTTTTCTCAGTATCGTCATTCGATCGTTCGTGATAAGAATAGATCGATGGTGATAAGAAGCATCTTATTTTGAAGCATAACGGTAAATTTCAGTCTAATTCTAATCCTTCTTTTGAACAAATTGTCAATAGATGGCATTATTATATCTTTATAAAAAGTATTCAACAAAAGTTATTAGAAAATCATTAATTATAATCTATTTGTCAAAAGCCGTAAACCTAACCTTTATAATGGTGTTTATATCATTAAGAATTATGGAAGTTATCGTGTATCGACAAAAATACTTGAGAAAAATAATAATATACTGAGATTAAAACTGTAGTCAAGCTTAACTAATTTAAATAAACAAGTTGTATACGTATATTATTCAGAAGATATGTTGTAACATCAGTATATTTAAAGAACTAAAAAAGTTGTAAAAACTAATGCTCTATGACTGTAATCCCACCTACGTAGGTAATTATGAAAATGATTATAAAATGTCATCTAACAACAGAAAACGTACTTAATTTATGAGAGAGGTCAGGTATCAAAATCACGCAAAACAATACTTCAAACAAAAATGGATGTTACGGAATTTTACCTTGTATCTGATATTAACCCTGAAAATATATTGTCCTCTATCACGCAAGAAATTTTAGATGTGTGATTCCGGTAAATATTACTAATGTAAAAAGAGCATTAATTTGAACATTCGAAAACTTAAATCTCCAAAGGTGTTGTTTATTATTGAAAGTTTGCTTTTCTTTTTTCTTATGTGAGAAGGTGGATAGGAAGGTGTAATGTTAAAAGAAAAACTTGAAAATAAACTTTAAGATAGAACTTGGTATTGGAACGAGAGATGCGTTTGAGGCTAGTACATTTACGGGCTCTTAGAGTACATCCCGAAGGGTCATCCTTACTTATAATAATATAATATTATAAACGCGAAAGTTTGTATGTATGGATGGATGTTTGTTACTAGTTCACGCAAAAACTACTGAACAGATTTTAATGAAACTTTACAATAATATAGCTTATACATCAGAATAACACATGGGCTATTGTTTATAAAGATATTATGTGAATATGATATTTGTAATAATAAAGTTTCATTAAAATCCATTCAGTAGTAGGTATTTGCGTGAAAGAGTAACAAACATCCATCCATACATACAAACTTTCGTATTTATAATATTAGTAAGGATATCGAATGCTAACACTAATAAAATTAAGGACACGAAACATTACACTCACTACATTTGATTGGAACTAAGGTGATTTAAGAAATATATTTTAAAAAAGTTTTTTCAAGTCTTATCATCTCGTGCATATATCTAATATATAAAATTCTCGTGTCACGGTGTTTTTAGTTGAACTCCGCCGAAACGGCTCGACCGATTTTCGTGAAATTTTATGTGCATATCAGTTAGGATGGAGAATCGGACAACATCTATTTTTCAACCCCCATAAATGTTAAGGTTCACCCCAAAACATTTTTTTCTACCCTATAAATTATTTATATGGCAAAACAACGTTTGGCGGGTCAGCTAGTTAAGTAATATAATACAATATTTCAAATTTTAGCAACCCTTATTAAAAGATTCCATACGCTATATCATCGATTCTTTGTCACAAATATGATTAAACAGTTTATTACGAAATTTTTAGCATAGTTTCAATACTACTTAATACTATATGAATATTTACAAGACATCACCTTCGTTGTAATTTAGATCATCCAAGGTCGTATTTCGACAATAAAATGTTACAATTCGTTATCTCATAACGTGAGCCAAATTGGAAGGTCTAGGACGAAATGCGCGTGATAAATCTCGGTTATTGTGTCGGGTACACATGTGAAAGGCTTTAATAAAACGCCTATATATCCTACGTGAAAACGCGGGAGGGCGCGGAGGGTGTGTGCGAAACGGCTACGTGACATCGCGCCTGATAAGCGTGATTGATGACGTCACTATTGCCGCGCACACGCGAAAGGCCAGCCTGTCATAGCGCCGGCGAACTTGTTGAGCCATATTGGCGTGGAATTTTTTTAAACCCTTGCATATAAGCTGTTAGACGTTATCGTATTTCGTTATTTACTATACACAAACTGCATTCTTCGATCATATAATAAAATGTTTATTTAATTATTAAAATTAATGAGGCAATGATAACTTCTTGTATTTACGCGATTATATTATTGTATTCACGCGATTTATCGCGTTTATTTTTAATTTTAATTCCCGACGTTACGTCCTGTGTCTGACCCGTGACCATGAACGCTGTAAAGGGTTCTAAACGTCGGGAATTAAAATTAAAAATAAACGCGATAAATCCGTAAAAATTAGTTTCAATTATTATTCAGGCAAGGTAAACGGAGGTGGGAAATGTTTCAGAGTTCAATGATATTTACTCGTGATATTAAAATCACACACATGATAAGTCCATTTACTATTCACTCGGGGCAAAGGCGAGATGATAGAAAGTCATTATTTTAAATAACTAGTAGTTAAATAGCGGCTTCGCCCTCGCGGCCAAAGGCAATTAACAATGAGTTTTTTTTATTATACACCAGAATATCTCGCAGACGGCTGAATTTTTTCCTACTTAGTTGACACTTATATCTATATATTATTATATAGCTTACACATTTGAATAAGACAAAGGCTATAATTTATATACATATTTTATGTATATCTGTCTTTCTGCTGTCTGAATGTTACACCTTTGGCCTATTCTACACAGTCGCGTGCAGCGAGTCAATTAATAAATACAAATCTTGTGAATTGCGAATACAAACATAAGTTTGAATATTTAAAAAAAACCTGTGGCTACACGTCGATGTGCAATAGTGTGTGTCATCTAAACTATTTATTTATACTTTATTGCATTAAACATTTTACTTATTATTACCTTAAACAAGGATTACAAAGGGCAAACTTAATGCTTTTGGTCATTCTTTCCCCGTCAACCCGGGGCGTGGAGATAAATATAATATATAATAATAAACTATCTGGAACGGAAAACTATTTCTCACTTATTCTACAGCTCCGGTTATATTAAAAAGTTTACATGAGTCATCCATCAGTGCACCCGTTGCATTGAGTATAGTTTCTCATTCGAGATGAGTTTAATAGGTTTCCGTACCGTGATGTGAACTGAACTCCAGTTATGCAAAATAAACCGACGTAACTTATAAGAAAAACTTTCTGGACTGATTTAATTACAGAGTCAATCATTTTACTTTGAAGTTATTATGTTTATGGGCTAATTTTGGCGAGTAATTCATCCACTTTTTGCATACATTTTTTGTAAAGATATTTGAGTAAAATAATTCAAAATCCAAAAGGTTTAAATTTTGGTTGCACTTTGCTTCGAGGCAAGCCCCGTTAATGAAAGGGTAAGACGCTCGCGCCAATCCAAACATGATATCAAGTCATTCAAACTTGGATAGTTAACAAAAAAAGATGTGATTTATCTAGAAAAAAAAAATATTCTACCAATAATAGATAGTTAGGGTGTTATTAAAGGGATGTATTAAATTATTTAAGTAATTTATTTATTGATAAACAATTATAACATATATTACCTTGGGCTTAGAACTGTCATCAGTGAAAAAGGAAACGAACACCTATGCTATGAAATGGAAAGCAAATGTTAAATCGTGCATGAATATTAGTTTCGAGGATTCGTATTGACTTCCTAAAAATGTTTGTCAACCAAAATGGAGTTTACATATCCTTAAACAAAGCCATGAACTTTTATATAGCTGCTATAAGAACTCTTTTAAGAGAATCTTTAAATATTTACAAACCCGATTTTTGTGCAGTACAACCTATTATATTATAGCCTTGTCTAATCTGAAAATTTTATTTTAAAGTATTCTCATTTCAAATTAAGTCGTTTTGTTGATGATGTAATACTTTCTCGTTTGTTATATAAGTAATTAGCATTCTGTTACATAATTGGTTTAAGTATTGAAAAATAATGTACAATAAAAATTGCAATCCAGCTGAGTTCAGCTTTAAATTATAACGCTTCCTTCACGGAACTTAATCAATAAAATGATAAATGGCTGCTAGCAACGTTCTAGACAAGGCACTTGTGCAAAAGTGCAGTCACTGTTGAAACAATTTATAGTCACAATAAATATTTTGTTAAACCTACGATACAATCAGACTGACGTACAGAGATTCTAAAGAAATTTAAAATGGTTTCTGCGTTTCGGATCGAGCTAACTTATATTCATTTATTTATCACCAACAAACTACTCACCGAAACCGAATAAATATAGTTTAAAAAAATGTTAATAAACTAAAGGTGAAATACAAAAGTTTTATCAATATAAACATTAAACTAAATATATAATTATATAGTAAAAATAGAAAAAAAAAACAGTACAATCAGAATATTACTTACTCAAAAGAAATATTACAATAAAAATATATACTGAACGGTGACGATGTTTAAGAGAACCCAAAAAGAATTTTAAGTATTCATTGTAAACCTTACGGCATTAGGGATAATATTTAGGCGATAATAATTATTTTTAATCCACAAACTTTTCATATAAAACATACGAGTAATTTATAAGCCTCACATAGTTAACATTAAGCAAACTTTGACTTAATATAAAATTGTAATATTTAATTTGCCACACGTTATTAACTGCTGAGGCTGCTATGTTTTAGTACATGTAATGTTCATTCTTTGATCTGTCAGGCGTTAAATTAGTTCACAGCCAGCTAGTACATTGCGCGTATACTTAAAACGACAAGTAAACTGGCTCTTTTATATAATGAAGTGAATCTTGTGAGATTGATGAGCCATGCAGAAATAAAAAAAAAATCCATAGAAACAGTTACCACTGGTAGACATAAAACCGACAAAACGATTTTTTATAAGTGAGCATATAAATTGATATTACAAAGTACTAAGTTTATTCAGTTCAGGATTT